GACTGTTTCAGTGTAAACACAGAGCAGCTGAGACTAGCAGGAGTAGTAAAAAGATGGAGGGCAGTAGCTCCTCTTTTCTGTTGCATTTACAGTTGAGAGTAATACAAGTTGCTGCAACAGCTGCCTGTGTGATCAACAACAGAAATCAAAGCGAGAGAAATGCTACACAAGCAGATTTTATCTGTGATGCGTGCAGTGGACACACAGCAGAGAACAGATAGATGAAGGGGGATAGAGCAGGGGTGGGCAATCTCAGTCCACGAGGGCCGGTGTCCCTGCAGGTTTTAGATGTGTCCTCAAACCAACACAGCTGATTTAAATGGCTAAATTAGCTCCTCAACATGTCCTGAAGTTCTCCAGAGGCCTGGTAACGAACTAATCATGTGATTCAGATGTGTTGACCCAAGGTGAGATCTAAAACCTGCAGGACACCGGCCCTCGTGGACTGAGATTGCCCCCCTCCTGGGCTAGAGGATCATCCGCTTCAAACTTAGTAGACAGTTATCAGTGTTTACAATTTTGGTAGAACAAGGTAATATATGTTGCTTTAACAGAATGTGAGTGTTAAAGTAAAAACACATAAAAGGAACAGCCTTGATGGAAAATGTTTGTAGAGACATTTGCCACAGAAAACATCAGCTTCAATAATCCTGCTTTTTCTGTAAAAACATTGGAGCTCTGTTAAGTATCCCCTAAAGGGAAGATGCACAATTAAAGCAATGTGCACAGAGCAAACAGGATCCTGCAGAGCATTTCAGGCTTGTTGACACATTCCTTAAAGAGTCAGAGTAGGCCTCCAGGCTCGAAAGAAGAACTCATTTAAGCCCTTAACCGATGGACCAGAGGTGTCTGTCAGTCAAGACTGCTAATCTGCAAGAGGTGGCCTCCACTGAATACGATATGTTGGCCCCCATCTTTAACTAAGTCTATCAATTTTTTCTGACTTGAACTAAATGTGGTACATATATGATACATGTAGGAGCCAAAAGTAAGAGTTCGTATTATGCACAAGGTATCTTTTTCTTTTCTTTTGGTCAATTTAGTTCTCTTGTCTAAATGGACATCTCTATCTGAGGTTCTTATTAATCATCTTAAAAGACAACATTTACTTTTCACAGTCTCAAAGTTCTTAAGTTGTCTGGCACATTTTCAAGGATGTATTTGGGGTCCCAAAGAGATCTTCATCTTAGACAGATTAAAAAAGACTAGTTGCTGTTTTCTGGCTAAATGAAGTCAACAACTAGTTGACCAGAGTAGACCAGACAGCAGCATTTCCTCGTGAAAGTTGTGAACTGATCTGTGCAGTATTTCTTTTTGCTACTGGCTTGTAGTCCTGCCAATAGTAAGCAAAACTAGCAAACATCTCGTCACTGCAGGAGCAGGAAAGGGAAAAAAGCAAGAAAAAATCACTCTGGAGGTAGTTGTGCTGCAGTGTGAAGGGGAAATCTAGGAAATGAGGGGAAGATGGTGCACCCATTGTTGCTGTAACTGAGGATCCTAATGGAAGCATGAGCTACCTAAAATATATGATCACTGAGTGATCAGAGAGGATTTCAAGCATTTTCAATTAGACTATAGGTCAAACTCCAAGGTTTAAATCTTAAATTGATGTGAAATAACCAGCCTTGTTTTTTGTGTTTCATTTACTTCTAAACTTTTAAACTAAGCAGCTCACTTTGAAAGACCCTTTATGTGACTCCCACACGGAAGCTTCTTATCTGACCTCCAAATATTTCCTCTTCATTCTGTGGTGTTTCTGTCTTGTCAAACATTCTGTTTCACATTTTGAAAGCTTTAATGGAGATGCTGTATGGCTTTGACCCGTAAGGCTAATTTACGTTATTGTGATGAAACAATTATATTACCATGAATAGACACTTTGCTGTGCTATAGCATAAAATGGTACAGGAAAACTTGATTTTAATGAGAGTTTTTCTGTATTTCTTGGAACAGCGGTGATTCGTCACCATTCATTACAAAACGTTCAGTGGTCAGTCCCTGAGACCCACTAACCCCCTGCTCACATGCCCGTCCCCCTGACCCCTTTTCCTGCCTCCTTTCCAATCCAAATCTCAGCAGTATGCTCTGCCAGACAACCTTACTTAACAGACATCCCAGCAGTTGCTCTTTGTGTCTGACGTGGCAAAATGCCACATCACATTACACTTCCTGCTTCCTTTTGCAAAAGGAGGAACGGCATAAGATTCACAGCACGGACCCCGTAACCTAGTTTTTTTCTTATTAACCGCAAACCTAGTTTGATTTGGGAGCCATTTTCCTCGGCAAGAAGCACACTACATTCAGACCAAAAGCTACAGGTGTGTTAAAGCTTACGCACACATAGACACACTCAAACGCATACATGTACATGTATGTCATCAGCCCCAACACCTGTGTGGGTGTTGCCTTTGAAATTCTGGAAAGATATTACTTTTGAATCCCGTGGCCAGGTAACAATTCAGATCAGCTGGCTGTGAGAGTCCTCATAAAATTCAGAGAACTGTAGAATGTAAAAAGATCCCAAAACATAAAAGTCAGATAATAAATCGGCAGTCACTTCTCCCAGGTTGCTGTAATGTAGACTTTACAAACCTAATCCATGACTTGTTCTTTTTAGAAAGAAGAGGGTTTGCAGAACATTTCCTTTTGGAGAAACGAGCCATAATTGTATAGTCTTTTTCGGATTGTCCCATCGTGAACTTTAACATGTCTTAAAATGGACTAAAATTGTTTCAAAATGGTCTTACAGCAAATATTAGTTATTAAAGATCATTTTGTTGTCTTTCCTTTCAGTAGCAACACCTGCCTGGTACTTACCAATTTAATTCACTTAAACATTAAGGATCTAATTAGGTTTTCACACATGGTGGCTTGGTGTTGTTAAATGACTAATCAGACAGGGTAATATGTTAAACGACGCCATGTGTTGTTGTTCAACTGAGGTTGTATTTACCTAATTTTGAGTCTTGCTAAGGACCAGATGATTTCATCTTATGTTTGGACATTTAAACCCTTAGAAATATAAAACAGGTTTACCTTCTTTTTTATGACTATATGAGCCAAATGCTTGGTTTCAGACAAAACTGTGAATCATGCGACCCTACAGCCCTTGTATGTTCCAAGAATAAAACCAGACAGCTTAAAATGAGAATAACAGCTCCGCTATAAGTATTTGATACTTTGTTACATGATGTATAAATGTTGCATTAGTGATTCTCAGTGAATTAAGTAAGGAGTGGTTTAGTCAGTATCCCTACCTTAGTCTCATGAACTTGCCTTAACCCTTTAGAATGGTGTTCATATATTAATATGAATTGTCCACATATGTTTATGGAAGTTGTGCTTCTAATAAATCATAGAGCAAGCAGTGTCTGAACAGTTATTCAGGTGGCACTTAAAGTGGTAATGTTCTGTGGACAAAGTCTCACTGTGAATGCTTTACAATTGAAATCGATAATTGCATTCGTAGTCAGAACTCTGCTAGTATCATCTTTTCATAAAGGCAACACAAAAACCCAGTGGAGCATCTTTTAAAGACCCTTTCATCCTTTTAGAAACTCTTCATTCAAACATTGTATGAAATCACAAAATGCAAAATAATTATTTTTTTTTCAACAACTACACTTGCCCAACACACAACCCTCACATCATCTGCCAGTCCTGCAGTTGGTGACTAGCTCGATAAATGATCAAAATTATTTTGGGGACATTAAGAAGCGAAATGAAAATGTGTTTTCAAGTATTATTAGAGAAAATTAGGTAGAACAGTTTGCAAATCATAGACCTTTAATGGATTACTCTTGTTCTGGATGTATTTGTGCAAAGTTATCAGAGTAAGGACAGCATGATGGCGTGGTGGTCAGCACTTTTGCCTCACTGGATCCTGGGTTTGAAACCACCATCTAGCCACCGTTGGGCCTTTCCGTGTAGAATTTGCATGTTCTCCCTGTGTCTGCGTCAGTTCTCTCTGGGTACTCGGTCTTCATCTCACAGTCCAAAGACATGTGAATGGTTGTCTGTCTCTCTGTGTTAGCCCCGCAACAGACTTGCGACCTGTCCAGGGTGTATCCTGCATCTCAGTCTATGGCAGCTGGCGTAGGCTTTCATAGAAGTACTGTCAGGCTGTCTTATAAAGTAAGGTCAAAGCTTTACAGTATAATTCTGAGAAACCTACTTTCCACTCGAGAAAACACCTGATGACAACAGCTTTGAACCGTTAGATTGTTCGGACAGATGTAGATTAAGGCTGGGCCACTGGAGATAGAAAAGAGTGGAAAGAGGAAACAGATTCTACCCACTTCAGCAGCTTACGAAGCTGCTGTATGGCTAAGGTACTTTACATGTGCTATTAGATTTGAAGCATAATATGCTAAAGTTATGTACAAGAGCAAAATCTTATTTTTTAGCATGAAAAAATGCTGCAAGACATTAGTTCTCCATTATTATGTGTTCAGTTACAATACCTGGAGCATCACACAGCATGCCACAGTATGATGTGTGCTGCATGGATGTTACACACTTGTTGTATAAGATAACAACAAATTTGTTATTAACAAAGTCACGACAAGTGGGGGGGTGGCAGCTGTATCTAAACCTGTCCTTATACTCTATTTTTGTGACATTACAGGTGACAGCTGCACCTGTGTTACAACTGCATGCTTCCAACCCTCCAATTTGTGCTGCCCTTACGCTGGTCTTTATTGTACTGGCTGTGTCTGTGTTCTTGAAGTGGTGCATTGTTAGGAGATAAGCTTCAAACCTTTCCACTCCCAAACTTTTCTGTTTTGCAATTGCAGCAGCATGCTAATCTCCCTGCTGTTTCATACAGTATAGTACTACTGTATATTCACGATGTAAGTTTAGGATATTATGGTAGTATTATACAGGCCTTAAATAAAGCAATTGCTCTAGTTTTCTGCTTTTGCTGTACTGTGTATATAACCACTATATTCACCATAATGGGACCTGGTCACTTGTGATTTCTTTTTTTTTTTCTGTAGTATGACAGTGGCAATGAAGGCCCAGGCCAGGTGGGAGGTGATGGAGAGGACGGAGGTTTTCTACGCTGGGATAGGTCTTATGGTGTTTGGTACCCTTCTCGTAGTGAGCAGCTTCCTCGCTCTGGGATTCACCGGAACCTTCCTGGGTGAGTCCCAGACACAGTGTCAGATATTAAATGGACACAAAATAATTTTAGTCTAAATATAACTTCCTATTAAAGAATACTGTACACATCACTGAAGAACAAAGATTTAAACTGTAAGCATCTATCCAGACTGGCATATATCAGCAGACGCTTGATTGCCATTGTCTCCAGAGGGTGAATCCCATGTTGTGGTGATTCCTCTTGTGACACTAAATGGTTTACATATGTAGTTTTTAATACAATTCTTTAACAGGTACTGAATAGATTCTTGCAGGCTGTTAACACACTAACCCAACCTTCAGATGCTAACGACCAGAATTTTATCAAATCAAGCCAGGTGGCTTTATTGTGCATGTGCAGTGATACAGTACACAGTGACACGAGACAGCGTTCCTCCAAGACCATGGTGCTACATATAACAGACAATCAACACATGACTACATAGTACAAGTGCAAGGAAGGAAGTAAGAGACACTGTTGGGCCTTCTTAGTTAAGGAGCAGGTGCTGAGGGACCAGGAAAGGTTCTCCGTCAAGTCAACACCAAGGAATCTGGTGCTCTTGACGACCTCCACAGAGGATCCATTGATGTTAGGTGGACAGTGATCTCTCCGTGCTCTCCTGAAGTCAAAATTATCTCTTTTGTTTTGTCCGTGTTCAGAGGCAGGTTGTTGACTCTACACCAAGCATTAGCTGTTGCACCTCCCGTCTGTATGCTGACTCATCGCTCTTGCTGATGAGACCCACCACAGCCGTGTCATCGGCAAACTTGATGATGTGGTTCGAACTGTGCATTGCTGCACAGTCAGCAGAGTGAACAGCAGTGCGCTGAGCACACAGCCCTGAGGGGCTCCAGTGCTCAGTGTGGTGCTGTTGGAGATGCTATTACCGATCCGGACTGACTGATGTCTCTCCGTCAGAATGTCCAGGATCCAGTTGCTCAGGAATGATTGTGTTGAATGCAGTTTGGCCCTCGCTGTTCTGAGGGCTGCCTTTTCGCCTGCTCTGAAGGCGGACTCTCAAGTCTTTAGCAGCTCACACACCTCTGCAGTCATCCACAGTTTCTGGTTGGAGCGTATTGTGATAGTCTTGGACACAGTGACATCATTGATGCACTTGCTGATGTAACTGATCATAGATGATGTTTACTCCTCCAAGTTGGTGCGGTTGCCATTTGTTGCAGCCTCCCTGAACATGTCCCAGTCAGTGTGCTCAAAACAGAGATGGCACCTCACCTTTCTCAGAACCGGTTTGCAGCATCAGTGAGATTGTGGCTACAATAGCATGCAGATGTTAGCATTTACCATAAATTATAATTTTGCTCAGGGTTAAGCATTACACAACCCCAAGCATGGCTTTAAACACTTGTTTTGTGTTCACTTAACTGCATTAATTAAAATAAAATCATATTTTTTCCAAACTATAAAACTATAAACTTTACAAACTATTAGCAAACAAAGCACCACATTGTGCTCTTGTACATGAAAGCTACAATAAAACAGCCTTTAGTAACATTAAGGGATCACATGACACACAGGAAAATGCAAAAGAGGACATGTAGTTCATGTCTCTACTTAAGTAAAGACACATGAACTCTGACACATTTGAACAATTCATGCGCCCCAACATATTTCTCTGAATATAGTCGTTATGATATGCCGTGTCCCAATATCTTCTTGTTTCCTTCTGAGACAAACACCTTTATTTTGTTGTTCCATGTACTCCTGAACACATGCAGGCATTGTTTCAAATGAACATGAGCTCAAGATTGCCAGGACCATTTGGCATGCAGTAGCTTCTGGTTTTTTAGGTCAGTCGACTAAATGAGTCATCTTCAAGAACCAGACAGATTGTCTGAGCTTCTTCAGCATATTTGTCCATCGGTGCACTGAAATGCCCTCAGTCCATCACTCCGCTTCAAACTAATCACTATCTGTGACAACAGAAGGGAGGCTGGAGGAACAGCAGGACGTGCCAGGAATGTGCATGTGTGATAACAGGAGTCTACTTTGTATTCGGAGTGGACAAGCCGGTCGCAAAACGCTGTTTGCAGGTTTCACTCTCCAACCATTTGGAACAATAAATTTTGCAGTTATAAAACAGGAACAATTCAACTTTCAGTATACCTTCAAATAAAAAGCAGTAGTAAAAGCCACATGTCTGGCTGCTGTTACATTTGATGTTTGTGCATATAGTCCTCTGAAAAACTATGGACATGCTGGCTCCCTCCATAGGATAGGGGGTAAGTAGCAGCCAGGCATTACTAATCAAATGCACATGAATAAATAATAATAAGTGTAAACTCCCTGTTGATAACCAGTTAATCAAATGCAATTAATTAGCAGGGAAAATTGATTGACGATATGCCAAAATGTCTATAAAATCAGAGGTTTTGGCAGTTTGGTGACGTGTAGAAATGTTTTTCTTTTCCCTAAATTTAACAATTTTATCTCATCTTGCGTGTTACTGTGTTCTCTGCACTTTCATTGTACTGCCTGTCTGCTTGTCTAGTAACAATAAAGTGAATTGAATAGAAATTTTATCTGTTCCTCCGTAACCATGTCATAGACTGATAAAGTCATAAAGAGAAACAATTACTTGAAGCTCTTGAATCATGGGATGTAATTCATTTTTCACAAGACTGCATAGAGAGTAGAGATGGACCGATCCGATATTACGTATCGGTATCGGTCCGATACTGACCTAAATTACTGGATCGGATATCGGAGAAAAATAAAAAATGTAATCCGATCCATTAAATATCACGAAAGCACCTCACAAAACTTGCAACACGCCGTAACTCACCTCAGAACGTTAGCACGTCGGAGCAGTATGCATCACGTGATAGAGCGGCTGTGGCATGCGGGACCTGTCGGTGGTCTGGATAGCATTTGGAGCTTCGCTAGCAACCCGGCATTTCATCTCCGACAAAGTTATCCCCGAGAGAAGTAAAGCAAGTGTGTAAGTCCATCTCTGAATGTTTGTAAAGCATTCCTGCGTTAAGCTTAACGAGCGACTGCCTCTCCTGCTGCTACTTCAATCATGAAACTGCTTAAGATCAGCTGATCGGCTTTTCTGTCGCGAGTCCGTGTCTCTTGTTTGTTTTTGGCCCACTTTGCACCAGAAAGAGGAAACCAGCGGCTGAACAACAGCAGCACGTTTAAGCTTGATAAGCTGTTGTTAGAATTTATTTAATATTACTTTCTACACCGAGGATCTTTTTCTACGTAGCTGACGGCTGGTAACTGTGCAGGGGCGGATCTAGCAAAGTTTAGCCAGGGGGGCCGATAGGGCATTAACAGGGAAAAGGGGGCACAAAGACATACTTTTCTTTCTTATTCTCATTTAAAATGTCGAGCTTTTAATAAATAATTATCTGACACCCAAAGTTTTAATTTGATGTAAAATGAATAGAAGTCAATTACTGTATATAGTAACTATTAAGTCTAATATATATACCCTAGTAAGCTATAGTACTTTTTCCTTTGGGAAGGTACCATCTGTGCAGTCTGCAATTTTGTTGAAGAAAGATGTTGAATCTATTTAATATTTCTTGAAAAATAATTGATTTCTGTGCATTTTTTTTCACACTGCATCAAATTAAGGTTGATTACGTCGATTAAGCATCATGAGGTGGAGCGTGAGGGGTGGTTCCCTATTTTTTATTTATTTATTTTTGTTGTTGCTGGGAGTTGGAACCCTATTAGTTAGGTTGCTTAATATTTATGCTAAGTACTCTTTAAAATACCAGAATAGGGAGGATGGTGTAGGTTTAAGTTTATTAGATTGATCAGTATTGCTGAACTATGAAATATTTTTTTTTGCATACAGGTATAACAGAATAGCTTTAGTGTAGTTGTTGTTTTAAACTTGAGTATGAACTTATACAAAATGCAGCAAGATATTTAAAAAACAGTTTTGTTGATTAAAAAACACTATATCGGATTCATATCGGTATCGGCAGATATCCAAATTTATGATATCGGTATCGGTATCGGACATAAAAAAGTGGTATCGTGCCATCTCTAATAGAGAGCTGTGAAAACTCTTTTTAAATTGTATGTTTAATCGAACATTCAATTTTTTTTCTACTTTGAATACAAAAAATCTGAATGAACTGAAATGTTTTAACCATTTTTTTAACGATCGGTTGCACAAAACTGAGAAGTTTTCGACAAATGACAATAGCGTCACAGTAAGTCTCTTTCTGTGGTACCTTTAGAAAACAAAAGATCGCAGCAACAAAAAAGGACATCAAGCAAGAATTAATGAGATAAAATAAAACAACTAAAAATTAAAAAGGTGCTTTTTGTGCTTATAATGTATAAAAATTGTAAAATAAAAAAATGTGATGACCTCAAATTACAGAAACAAAAGTGTAGATGGTGACAATTAAAAAAACAAAAAACAAAAGCTACTGACCAGTCATAGGAGTCACTACTGGTTTATTTAACATTTTCTTTGGTGTGTGGGGAGACGTTGACATGCAGAATTTTAAACAGTGTTAATATGGCAGTGGATGACCTTTCAGCTGGTGGAATAAATATGTGGTATTGCTACCCTTAGCAGCAATAGTTTTACGGCATGTTTTGCAAATTTCTGCAATTTGTTCTGCACCCTCCTTGTGAAATCAACACACATGCTCAGCGCAGTGCGCCAGGTAGAAACTTTTCTGGGTGGGAAGGGGGGATTACATGCAGACAGCTTAATATTCGCAATTTATACTCGATGATTACAAAAAATCGAAGTGCAAGACAAGAGTGACAAGGAAAATGTGGTGGCTACTCTATGATTGCCTTGATGTTTTTCGCGTTCAGAGACTAGTTGCAGGTTAGTTGCAGTGACCAACGGTTCACCAGGAGGTTATGCTTGCAACATCCTCAAACTTTGAATGACCACTTTCCATTTGCTTTGTAAGCACTGTCAAACAGAGAGGTGAAGGTTTTCAAACAATTGCCGTAAGTGCCGGCAGATTGACAACATTTTGCAGTCAACCTCAGTCGATTTGAGTGCCCCATTTTACACAAGTTGCATTCATCAGCACAAACTAACTGTATGCTGGTTCTGAGGTTTTACAGCCACTATCCACATGATGCTAACTTGTCCACCATTTTGCATGTGTGATAATTACGATGACAATGTAGAATCAGGTCTGCATCCATCTGACAACCACTGGGGCATGAGGGTAAAATGTATACGCCCTGACCAATTCTGAGTGGGTAATGGTAATTGATGGCACTTGCTGGGAAAATCAAATGATTGCACACAGGTCTACAGTCCAGTCAGTGACACCCTGACAACCACCTGTCATTAGTGAAAAACATGTGGTTTGCAACTGGTTGGCAAAAACCTCCTTGCTTTGGTTGGTAGAATACTTTGAAGACAGCAGCTGACTACAAGTAGTCTCAGACCCAGTTCCCATCTTTTAATCAACCATTTCCAAGGCAACAAGATTGCAGGTTCATTGGACACTGTCTCAATAATTTTGGTCACGGAGTGGTCTCAAACCACCATTTGTCTAGTGTGACTGCAGCATGAGATATACAGGGCAAAAACTATGAGGAGTTTTAAATGTTAATCAAATAATAAAGATCTTTGTATTCCTGCCAACTGTTTCCCAACTGATTAATCTGAATTAATTTGCAAATTTCTGTCTATGTAAGTTTACATATATGTGTTTCACTCTTGAGATGATTTTAATTGTGTCGGTATGATCTCTATGTTCCACCATGTTCCCTTTGCCCTTCCACCCACATAAACAAACACATACTGAAGGACATAGCCTGTGGGTGTATGTTGTGTTTCAATGTCTTATATGCTCTATATTAATCCCCTTGAGTCACGGTGACCTGATGATTCAAATTGATGGCACAAGGTTAGAAACAAAGATCCAAACAAAATCAAATTACGCTCGGTGTTAACCTGTTGATTCTGATCACAGACCCACATCTTTAGCCTCTAGACTACCACAGTTATTGCAGCTGCTTGTCCACCAAATCCAAATTGCCTAATTTCATAACCGTATTGAAACGACAGTGACGCAGGAGCTCTTAAATCTAAACGGGTTAACAGTAGTCACTTTGAAAGTCAAAAATTGAGGTTAGCATATTGTTCCGTCAGCCAGTTACAGCTGGTTTTCTATTCAAAACCAAGAAATTTGTTTATATAATCAAATTTATATAATTTTTTTTTTTATCCAGCTCTACCTGTGGCGTTTAAATGAGCATACATTATGAAAATCGTTATATAACTTGGACACTTGGACACAATTCAGCAGGTCAGTGTTACCTACTGGAGTCTGCATGTAAGTGTGTGTGTAAATATTTGTGTGTGTGGGTGTATGAGGAGGGTATAAGGGAAATATTAGAATTTTCATGCCCTGTTACATTTAATTCCCAAAATGGGTCAGAAAAAGTTCATATGTGTGCAGTACTTCTTACGTAGTAGACCTTAAAGGGCTAACGTTACTTTGAGTGGTGACCTAGTTTAGCTGCTCTCACTAACATTTTACTCGCAGACATGCATTTGTTTAACAGACACCTCTATTTTATGGCAAAAGTATCAGAAAGACATGTCAAAATGGCTTTGACATTTAAACCTCTGAGGTCTAAGTGATTTTCAGTTTCTCCTGGTCATGAAACACTAAACCAGCTTTTTATCCTCTTATGAGATTTAAGCGTGCGAGGGAGTTTACTCAACCAGCCTAGATGTGTCTTGAGGACCTGGAGAGGGCATTCAACAGTCTTCTTTATACGGTCTTATTCACAAATGCCTTTGTGAATAAGATGTATTGGGCCTGTTGTTGGAGCTATGCAGTACAAATGTAGTGAGATCTTGATTCACATTTTAAGCAATAAGTCTTGGACTTCAAGCTGAGGGGCGGTAGGTGTCAGATTTGGTTGACAATGACTTCTAGCTTGTAAAGGACACAAAGTATGAGGCCATGTCTCTCAGAATAGGCAGAGTGCCCACTCCGGGATAGGGACAGGTTTCTCTGTGTAATGTCTTCTCAGTTTCTTTAAATGAACAAACAGGATTGGGTCAATTTTATAGCAACAACTCCTTTTATTCAGCATCTGCATTTATGACAAAGGGCAACAAAGTGGGATGGCTAATTCTCGTGGACAGCCAGCGTGAGCCCTGTGTGAAAAGGCTCCAGAGTGTCTTTACTGGTAAAGTGGTCTCACAGAAAATTAACATCTAACTCAACATAAGGATGACATGTTACACTAGCTGTCAGATTTTTGTTAGAAACAGACTTGACAGGATATTTTCCTAATACTTGCATAAAGTACAAACAATATATGTTGCCATATTTACAATACTGTGTACAATATAATAGTATTACAGGTGAAAAAAAGTTCAGGCATCATAGGGAGGAGTTCTAAGTTTGATAGCCACTCCTAAATGTACATATATACATATATATTAGGGGTGCAACAATACACAAAATTTACGGTTTGGTTCGATACTTTGGTGTCACAGTTCGATATTTTTTCGATACAAAAAAATGTTCATGCCTTTTTAATTTGTCTTTTATTAAAATGATAAATATATATTTTAACTCAAAAGTACAGTTTTTAAATTTAATGTTGCTGAAACAACAAAATAAATAAAATAAATCTATCTGATCGAGAAATCACTCATCGTTGGAAAAAGAGAGTTTATTACAGAGAAATGTCTCTTTCCAAAATAAAAGCTATACTATACGCTTCTTCTGGGCTATATTCTCAGCAGCATATTAAACATATCAGGTCCCCATGAGGAGAATCATGTGCTAACGGCTGTCTAAATGACTCGGGTAAAGTTTGTAGCATGCGTGCTTGTTGTTTTTGTCTGCTTCCACTTGTTTTTGCACTAGGATGATGTCCGCGTAAATGTGCAGTCATATTCGTTGTGTTCCCACTAGTGCTGTCAGGGTAAATCTCGTCGAAATAACGTTAACACCACAACACGGCAAATCTCCGTTAACGAGCTACCGCGGATCGCCCCGTGCATGGGGCTGGACGGCCAACACGTTAACGAGCTATGCTATGCTCACATTCGATGGCGTCTGGCACGTTGGAGAGGTGTGCGCTTCACGGATGAATCATGGTTCACATTGTTCAGGGCAGATGGCAGCTGAGAATGTCCCCGTTCTTGCATGGCCAGCATACTCACCGGACGTGTCACCCATTGAGCATGTTCGGGATGTGCTTGACCGGCGTATACGACAGCGTGTACCAGTTCCCACGAATATCCAACAACAACAACAGGCCACAATTGACAATCTGATAGACTCCATGCGACGATGTGTTGCACTGCATGAGGCAAATGGTGGTCACACCAGATACTGACCGGTTCTGGGTCCCCAGACCCCCAATAGCGCAAAAAACTGCACATTCCAGGGTGGCCTTTTGTTGTGGGCAGTCTGAGGTACACCTGTGCACTACTCATGATGTCAGATCAGCATCCTGATGTGGCACACCTGTGAGGTGGGATGGATTATCTCAATATAGCAGATGTGCCCACTACCACACATTTGGACTGATTTGTGACCACTGTTTGGGAGGGATGGTTATATTGTGTATCTGGAATGAATTTTAGGTCTCTACGTCCATCCCATGGGGAATGGGAGCAGTAACAAAGGTGTTGCATTTATATTTTTGTTGAGTGTATATATATATGTATATATATGTATATATATGTATATGTATATGTATATGAGTCATCGACTCATGTTGCACCAGTAAATACAAAGCAGTGGCGCCAACCAGAAAATAGTCCCATTTGCAGTAACACATCTTTGTGAGGCCAGCTTTTAGGCACTAGTGTACTAGGAGGGAAAAATAAATAAATCACTGAGTGCCCATCAGTGGGTCTCATCACTGACTAAGGCACTATGCTGCCATACACTTTTCCATTCCTAAGAGTGGGGTTGTCAGAAAAAGTCCCATTACTAAAAGTTAAGGACATATTTCTGCTAAAACAGGTCACCAAAAGAGTTTGTCAGAGGTTCTAAAAAGTTTATTTTGTAATATTTTGCTATGAAACAAAGTCCAAAGATTACACATGAAGTCATGCCCATAGAGTTGTATTGTTGACACCAGTAACAGCCAGGTGACGCACAGCACCCAGACACTGCAGTATTAACACAGCTGTGTCATGTTCCCGGCAGTGTATCCTCAGTCTGACTTTAGTGTTGTGTTGTTTTGTCAGGTACATGTCAAAAATCATCGTAGACTTGATAAGCAGGTCCAAAATCTGTCTGGTAGGATTGTGAAAACAAGACATCAGTTGATGGCATAGCAGAAACCATGGTAATGCTGTGCAAGTCCAAAGGGCTTTGCTGACTGAATACATGTCTACTAGGGACTAGTTGATAAGATGATGTAGAACTGAAATTTGGACAGTTTAGAAATGTTTTCTGCTTCTTGCCAAGTGCTACTGGGATAGACTCCAGTTTCCTGAATCACTGAAAAGAAAAAGAAACTGTCAGACTGAAGTTATGAAACACAGGTTTTGTCCTTTTATGTATTTTCCAGGTGACTACTTTGGCATTCTGATGGATGAGAAGGTAACAGGCTTTCCTTTCAACATCACAGAGAACCCAATGTACTGGGGCAGCACAGCTAACTACCTCGGCTTGGCACTCATGTAAGTGTGTGTGTGTGTGTGTGTGTGTGTGTGTGTGTTGGAGACTCTGTGTGTGACAGTAGAGGTCACTTTTATGGAAGTGATTAGCACAAGATGGAGAAAGGAAGAGATTTTGCTTAATAAGTTAGCAATATCTTTGTTTCAAATATAACCAGAGGAGTTTGTAGCGTGTTAATAAATGAGTCCCCTAATGTACGTCAAAAGTCGTTCTAAATAAAGCGAGAGCAGATAATAACCTGGAACCTAAAAATTGTAAATGTTTCTCAAGTTGCAAACTGCTCTTTGTAAATACGGTAAAAACTTTTACGTGTGCTTGTTTCTATGACAACTGTGACCAGGCTGCTGCTACGAGCTCAGCGTGTGCAGTTGCTAGGCAGGCACTCTCTTTTTGAAGACCCAGCTGCCGAAAAGCTATTAGCCTCCCATTCTTCCTCTCATGGAGCTATACGGACTCCATTCCGAGTGTTGCCTCATCTTCACTCCTTTTTCTGTTATGACAAATTTTAGCCCCATTTTCTCTTTGCTTTGGATTTAATTTGCACTCTATCCTCTATTCTCAGCTCTCGTCTCACTCCCACCTCTTTTCTCTATATCTCTCTCACTTGTGTTCATACAGTTGCTTTAACTCTATCTTTGATGCAACGTTATTATATATGCCGAAATATCATAGCATGCTCTGCCTCAGCCTGCTCTGTTCTGTTCAGAATACCCAATATCACATTGCCTGTCGATGGTCAGCAGGAAGCTATCTTTAGCAGTCATGTTCTTCAAGACTTCTCATCCAAAATAAGTCATGTTTGTTTTCATGTGAAGGGATCATTTGTAGCCCTAGAGAATTATCTGCTAACTTTGCAGTCTCTTGTGACCTAAAGTGCAAAAGTTGTAGATAGTTGATGAACATGTCAAAGTTGATTGACCTCAGTTGACATGGGTAATAGCCAGCAAGCAATTTAATATTTAAGATGTTTAAAATATTAAATAACTACCTGTTATGAATTTTGTTATCATTTATGTTTAATATGTCAGTCTGTGTAATGAGAAATTATTTTTTGTATTGTCACTGCTGATGAGCAGCACACAACATTGGGGTTGAGGATAAACATCCTGTTTAAGGTCATGCCAAAGTGTCTTGATCCAATCCTTTTGGATTTGTCTGAGTAACTACAAAAGGTTCATTTTCAACATTTCCAAGCGGCCTCGACACTCAAAAATGTGGTGGGTGCTGGTGTTTTTTGGTCATTGTCCTGCTGCATAACCCAAGTGAGGTTGGGCTTCAGGGCATAAACTGATGGCCGGATATTCTTCTTTAGGATTTTCTGATAGAGCGTAGATTTTCTGGTTCCATAAATACAGCAAGTTGTCCCGGTTCTGAAGAATCAAAGCAGGCCCCGTTCATTACACTACGACCATGTTGGTACCGTGATTCTTGTTCCATTTTATGGAATGGTTGTGTTCATTTCACAGCAGATGTAACGGGACTCAAACCTTCTAAAAAGTTCAACCTTGGTCACGTCAGTCCACGGAATATTTTCCTAAAGGTCTTGGGGATCATCAAGATGCTTTATGGCAAATTTGAAATTAGCCTTTGGGCAAAAATGGGATCCATGTAGAGTTCCAAGGAGAAAACCACTGCTGACGAAAAAGAACACAGTGTCTTTCTTATTATTGAATTATGAACATTGACCTTGACCGAGACAAGTAAGGCCTGTAGTTCTTTAGATGTTGTTCAGGGTTGTTTTGTGATCTCCTGGATGAGTCGTTAATCACTATTGGAGTCATTTTGGTCAGCCGGAATTCTAGGGAGGTAACAAGTGTTACAAGTTTTCTCCATTTGTAGCTAATGGCTCTCATTGGAGTTTAGCTTTGTAGCCCTTTCCAGACTGAAAATGTCAGTGACTTTATATCTCAGCTGTTTCTTTAGATCATGATGTGACTGCTTTTTGAGGTTTTTAAACGACTTCACTTTGTTCTACTTTTCTGGTTTCTTTTTTTTAAATTCACCTTGTCTGACAGTAATCAGGTTAATCATGATTTAGCAACAGAGAGCAGTTTCTTTTTCATATAAAGCCAAGTATGTATCCACAACACAAAGCTAATTTTGGACAATCCCAAAAGTGAGGCCTCCTATTATTTTAGAAATACAAACAACTTTTATTTACTATTGACATCATTTTAATGCTTGAAGACTTATTTATTTTTCTACATCATTTATTTTTATTTTTCTACATAAAAATGCATCAAGCATTTCGGTTGATGGCTTTTTGTAGATGCTGTGGCAGTTTTACAATGCCTATGTCATATCCGCTCGCCACCACCGCAGAATCACTTTATGGACAAATGTTCTTTCAACTTTGGGAACAGGCTGCAAAGTCCGGACAATAGGGTGGGTGGGTGATGAAGTTGCAACCAAAGTTTTGCAGGAGAGCAACAGTTTGATGCACAGTGTCGTTGAGAATTCTTGCGCGCAGTGCGGAACTGTGTTTTAGGACCGAAATGGGGCATTGTTGGTTGACTTTCTGCCTGTTGGGACCACAGTAAATGCTGACAGGTACTGTGAAACACGGGAAAAAACTCAGAAGGACATTTCAGAACTGGAGAAGAGGAATGCTGAGCAAGGGCGTAAGCATTCTCCACGACACCACGCGTCCACGTGTCTTCCGTCAATCTGTCGCTCTCCTGTAAAACTCTTGGTTGAAACTTCATCACCCACCCGCCCTATAGTTCGGACTTCACACCCAGTGACTACGACCTGTTCCCAAAGTTGAAAGAACATTTATTCGGAAAGCGACGGCGGCGAGCGGATGTAACAAAGGTATTGTAAAACTGCTATAGCGTCTACAAAAATGCATCAACCGAAATGGCGATTATTTAGAAAAATAAATAAGTCTTCAAGTTTTAAAATGATGTCAATATTATGGAAAATAAATCGTCGTTTGTATTTCTAAAATGATAGGAGACCTTACTTTTGGGATTGCCCTCGTATTTTCCTTCAGGTTTATGACCGTGACTGTCTGCAATGATGACGCTGCTGCAGCACTGGTACCAGAGGTTTGCAATGGAATGTTACAGTAACAGAAATTTGACTTTCAAGCGAAATGCAGTTGAATTTTTACATTTCTAATCATAGAGTTCAGCTTAATTTAGACATGCGTGATGACTGTATTTAGAACCTACAAGTCCACACTACTTTCTTACTCCATTGCCAGCATTTGTATCTGTGTGGGCTGTGTTCACAACACATGTAATTACATTTATGCGGTCATGGCATGGGTTTTTCCAAAAACAGCTAAAGTGCAGCTACAGTGTATTTAGTAAAAAGTTACTAATGTTTATAAGTTTGAATTATTTGGTAGGGGGTTGGTGTCCTGATTGCCCTCATGACTTGGAAGAACAATTTTCAAAAGTTGTTACATTCTGATAGCATAGTGTTGGAGTTGCAGTCTCTATCATCATCATCATCATCATCATCTGTCACGACTTAGTCCACATTAGTTCACCGTACACAGAACACCAGCTGCTTAAAGAGCACTGAATATCAGATAGTACCCCTCTGTGACTCCCTCTTTTTCCTCACATTTTATAAGAACTAAGTAAATATAATTTGTTTTATTACAATTGTAAAATCCAGCTGATTAAAAAGTGTGGTGAATACTGCTCTTTAGCTGCATCATTGACTGCAGTCATGTGTTATGCTTGTGAGATGGATTATTATTTCTTACTAAGAGAGAACAACAACACTGACTTTCAGAAGGTCACTCTCTGCTTCTGGCAAAATCACACAACTGTGCACTAGCCTGTTGCTTTATACAGCTGTGGCTCCTACTTTGGTGTGTATGTGGAGAGTGTCCCAGCAGAGGCAGTGTGTAATCATAAATCTCTGAAATGCAGCGTGAAGCAGTTTCACTGCTCCTACGTTTGTTTTCTTGTTTTGTCTTCATTATATTTTTGATCTTTGGTTAATAGTTTTTAGTTTTGTCATATTAGTCTGGTACTTGTTGAATTGATTTCTTGTTTCATATTCTAGTATATTGGAAGTTTTAGTTCTTATGATATTGATTCTAATGGTTATTCTACCATTTAACGTTTTGTGATCTCTTGTGTTCTGTTTAACACCTTGACTATTTTTAGTAGCAGTTTGTCTGCCTGTGCCTCCTTGTGTTTTGTTGTCAAATTGGTCCTCTTGACATTGTTAACCATGTCTGTGTCAGTCTGTTTTGGTTATTTATTGTTTTACTTAGAATATCTGATGTATTTTGTGCCCTGATAGTTTTGCTTCCTCTCTTTGTCTTTCTCAGATTCTCCATATTGTTTTCACCTGTTGTTAAGTACTTTCATATGTGCTGCCCACCTGTTTGTCAATAAGCCCTCAAATATATATACCCTATATGGACAAAAATACCAGGCCACTAACAGACTAGACCTACAGGAGCCGCTAGTCTATGGAAACCAAGGTCATGAAGCTCCCATCCCACAGTGTTTCTGTTGAAGGTAATATCAGCAAAGGTCTGAGTCTGGAGAGCATTAGCAACTTTTCCACATTATCTGCCTCAGCACTGTGCGACCCCGATCTGTAGCTTTACTTTGTGGCTGAGTTGATGATAATTATTAAATAATTATTCACTGATCGCTTGAGAGTGTTTACTGGAGATTGTTGCCTGTCGCCAGGTGATATTGGTTACAAAAAGGTGTATGGGGTCGCACCAAAAACCTTCTCGTGATTGGTTTGCTTGCTAGCAGATCGCCGTGATTGCACATAGTTTCTTTGGAAAACACTGGCTTGTCTGCAAATACTTGCGAGCTTTTGATCAGGTAGTTGTGAAACTGTGAAGACTGTGACACAAATCAGAAACAGAGACTGTTTGTCTTTAAAGTAAATGTAACACTTTTTGAAATAAGTTGGCTTCAGTAGTGAAGCACAAGTTTTACTTGGAAAGCAAATGGTTTCCATTTCCATTTTCTGCTCCGTGGTAAGATAGTGAGCGCTCGTAGACCTTTCGGCA